CAAAAAGCTCCAGATCCAGAGGGCCAAAGTCTGAAGAATATAAAGATGGATAGCACTGTATTTTGTTTTCAGATTTTTAAAATCATGTTTATCTTCATGTTTACCTATTATGTTAGATAGCAGTAAAACCAAACACTCAAGAAGGCATTGACCTCTACTAAAATATTATTCTGTTTCAACAGAATGTATTCTTAATTATCTCCAAACTAGATCTTTGCATCACACACCCAGAAGATTTTATGAGGAACTCATTCACTAAAATTTGTAGTGGGCATGAATCCCAGTCTACAAAATCAGGTTGGAAAGAAATATATCTTTCTTTATTATTTCATAATTCAATTTTATTTTTCTTTCAACTACCTATTTTGCCATAATCTCAGAACTTCTGTGTCTATCAATTTGGAGTTCCCACTTTGTTTAAATTCTAAGGGAAGACCTGGAGCATATAATCTGAATCTTCTGACAAGAATTTATTTCCTGAGACCTCTCTCATTATTATTGTCTTGACACTTTCAGCTCTGGATGGCCAGCCTGCTCTTTCCATTCCACCATTGTGGAGGCTGGGAGCTGTTTCCCTTGGGCCATAGGGTCTTTTCCGTCAGGCAAATATATCCTTGTCTGTCTAGCTAGTCATCCTCAGTGACCTAGAATGGAAAGGGATACACAGATCCCCTCTGCTCTTTAATATCCAAAACTTTTGGGATTTGGTATGGATGTCACAAGGCCAGTTATCCCTCCCTTAGGCCCACTGAAGTGTCTGTTACTCAGCCCAAGAAAACTTTTCTTTTTTGTTTGCCAGAGGAAGAGATGCTGAAGGGAACATGAGAAGAATTCCCTTTCTCAAAGATGTTTTCTAAAATATACTTTCTATATTTCAGTTAGGAAAGTTCTTTTAAGAGTTTATGATTTTGGAAAATATAAATCACAGATATTGTGACCTTCCCTCTGTTCTTTTCCTCTGCCCTTCTCTCTCTCTCTCTTTCCCCATCTCTTACTTCCTTGTCATTCTACCTCATAATTTCTCTCTTGGGACCAATAACATCTGTCTGTTTGTCTGTCTGTCTGTCTGTCTGTCTGTCTGTCTCTCTCTCTCTCTCTCTCTCTATCAAGTATTCCCACAGAACACATCCAGCATTCTAGAATGTTGGCATGCTGATCTTGAAGAGGAGAGTCAAATTTCTGTGACAACTGCTATGGTGACCTCTGCCTTCCATCATTAAGTGCTGGCAGGATATCAGTCTGAAAGTCTGACTGACACTATAGTTATTTTTAAGCACTGTGCATGTAGAGAACTTTTATAGTTGGTGGTATAGTTGAAATTATTTTTATGTAATTTGAGCCATGTTTTGAAAATGACTATAAAATGTGTTTAAAATAATCTATAACTTTGTAATAAAAATGTTTCACTTAATTTGAAAGATTTCCTTTGTTTACTTTATATATTTCACCTTTCTTTATTTTTTATTTTAGTTTGGTGAGCATCCCAAATGTAAATTTCATGCTGTCCCATCCAGTGTTTTCTTGTCTCATTTCAACTGTCATGTTTAAATTTTCTATTACTTACAAGTGGGCTAAAAGTAATAATCTGTCTCATATGTTGCTGTGAAGAATGAATGGACATTTAGATTTTGTAACTCTTTTAAAACAGTGTACTTTTCTCATTGTGATAAGGAAATTTATAACCTCTATAGCCTTCCATGTTTATCCTTATATTGCAATAGAGTAATTCAACCAACACATGCTGCAGACATACACTGATCATGCAGTTATGTACATGATTTAGTGCAATGAGCTTTACCTTTCCTCACATCCTGAGGGACTCAGGGGGGTTGGACAGTTTTAGGACACTGTGAAGAAATAGCATTTATTGAGTACCTTTGGTCCATGAACTTTAAAGGTCCTATGAAAATGCTGAATCTTGAAAAACAACAGTTTCAATCTACAAATAATAATATTATAAGACAAAACAAATATTTAATTATATCTCTTCAAAATGTATGGTGTATTTAAGTATGTTTTAAAGTCAAAACTGTCTTAAAATATGTATGCCATATGCAATGAAGATAAATGCATTTTATAGGAATCATGTATTTCATCCTAGTCACTCATTTATTAATTTTCACATTTATTGACTTGCCCTACTAATATTTATTAAGTACTCAATAATTTCCAAGCACTATACCAAACTATGAGGGTACTAATAAAAACAATGACAAAAGAAAATACCTATTCAGTGCCTATTTTGTACCAGCTACTGTTGTGAAGACTTTAGACATTTTAAATCTTCTCAATGCTACAAAATAGTTAAAATTATTCTCCTCCATTTCAATAGGGAGAAATTGAGGCACTCAGAGGAGAAAGATCTTACCCAAGTTCACACAGTTATTAAGTGACAGAGTCAAAATTTGAACCCAAGGGTCTTTCTCCAGAATTTTTGCTCTTACTACTTAACCATTCCTCTATACTTCAGAGAATGCAATCATGATACTTTACTTCTGGCTAAACAGCATAGTGTTAGCCTGACTAATAATGTACAATGTTATGAAAGGAGAAAATTTGGAGGGCTATAGAAGCCTATGAGAAGGAAGTGATTAACTCAGAATGTTTTACATTACCCTTTATATACCCCCAAATTAGCGAATGATCTATCCAGTATGAAATATTTTATTTAAAATATTTTAATAATATATGAAAATATTTTAATGTTCTTCAAAATTTTTTTCCCTCTAGGATATGATTTACACTTGAGCTTGATAAATCCTAATGTCTTTAAGGTTCTTAAGCAAAGCTTTATTGTTTTAAAAAGCTAATATTTATGGAATCAAAAATAAGACACTAGAACAAAACTGACAATGATTTCAACTATTGTGGGGGGTATTTAAAGGTAGAAAATTTTGATACAGAAATATATATGAATATTCTTAGAGTTTTAAAATTGTTAGCCACTTTGTGGTCTGCTTGGGCCATTTTTAATTTCAAGTATAATCAGAGAAAGTAAGTACCATCAATAATAAAATTAACATGGGCAAACATTGTTTTCAACTGAAATTTGGAAAAGAAAAAATTTTTAATAAGATTATGAATGTATTTCTACAATGCATTGTGGTTAAAACAGTGATTTTATTGTGATGTATTCCTTTTTGAGTTTTGAAATTCTCTTAAACTTTTTCCTTTAAATAGTGTTCAAGAGAAAACAACTTGTCCTCATACAAATCAACTTCAGAGGCAAATATTTCTTGATTTAATGCCACCACTGTGTGTTTCTGTTGTCCAAATACATGCTGTAAATGGTCTTTAGGCCTTGGGCCTTTTAATTTGACTAAAATGTGATATGAAACAAATTAAGCTTTGTTAATATAAAATAACTGTTGAGATCTCTATAATTATATTTTAACCAAATACTTTTGTAAAATTATTCTATTTACTTTGAGTTGGGCTATAGGTGTTTCCTTTACCTCTTCATGATTATGTACTAATAATTAAGTAGCCTATCAAGTTTCAGAATATTTAACTAGTAATATCTTCCATCAATTTAACAACATTAAATAATTCTTTGAGATACTTTTTGTCTACCAAACTCCTGTGACTTTTGCATATTATTCTCATGATGTGCATTTTCTAACAGGTTTTTAGCCATAAATCTTTATAATTTAATGTTAACAACTCAGAAGGGCTAATATTATGATACTTAAAATATTCTCATATTATTTAAAATGATGTTAGAAGAGATTGTGTGGAAAAATGATGTCTAAAAAGGTCATGAAGGGAAAGGCACTTCATATCTTTCTTATAGAAACATAATATGGAATTGTTTTCTTCATCCCTCTGGATTTTTTTTAAAATGACACAGACAATATTAAACCACACAGGAAATCTAGCTTTTATTCTTAGAAAAACATTCTCAAACTCTAAGCTGAACTTAATATCTAAAAAAAAAAAAAAGTCATACAGTACAATTGAATAGTTTAAATATTTCTGATATGGATTGATTTCATACAATAGAGCCTAACTTTGACATAAGTATTTATGGATATATGAACTCAAATGTCAGTATAATACATTTCCCCTGTCTTTATTTAGGGATGCATTATTTAGGTTAGCATGCAGTGTAAGCAGAAAAAAAGTGCTATATGTGAATATAGTTTTTGTGTAGTTGCTATTTTGAGTGTTTGATGAAAAGGCTGTAACACAGCATTTTCTATTGAATGGATGTTTACCTTTGTACTTTTTAACCTGAAAGCTTGCAATAGACTTATTTTCACTGGGGACTATTACAACTCAAACATTAGAGGAGTGGCAGGCATGATTTGATGGCTACGTTTGAGTTCTCTTATGTTTGTTTCTTACTAAGTTTTAACACAGTATTTATGATAACTCACTGCTTGAAGGCAGTGGCCTTTGTGATTCAAGAGGTTAGAGATGAAGTATGAGTATTGCTGTAAAATTAGATGATTTTGTTATTCCTTTCAAGAGCAAAAATCAGGCTCACCGAATAGCAATAAACCGGACAACCTACGCCTTTTTCTGTTTCTTAGTTGTGTTCAGGTTACAAAAATTCATCATTTCAACTAAGATATATCAAAAAATTAAGTAATCAACTATTTTCACCATGAAAATACAACGTCTAAATTGCTGTGATATTTATACTAGGAATGACAGAAACAAAAGGTGACTGCCAGCATTAAAAGAGAAAGGAATACTTTGTTTTAAAATCTTATTAAGCGCTTGTCACTCACATTTCAGAGCAATAATCCATGGAAACAAATTTTAATTCCTCCTTTCATGTGTAAGATTTTTAATACAATTCTATATTTTTACACTATTTAATTAAAATGTGAAACCACTAAATCTTGCTTAAACTTGAGTGATACAGTATAATTTTGGCAAAAGAGAACAGTATTTCATTTTAATTGTTTGAATGAATGAATACAATGCATGTTGTTGAATTGTAGCTGTAGCATATCTAAATAGGTGCACGTTCTTTTGTTTATGTCTTTTAGCATCTCCGTCAATTAAACTCTTGGTGGATGATCCTATAGTTGTAAATCCTGGAGAGGCCATAACATTAGTATGTGTTACAACAGGAGGAGAGCCTGCACCTTCTCTCACCTGGGTCAGGTCCTTTGGGACTCTGCCTGAAAAGACTGTTTTGAATGGAGGAACTTTGACCATACCTGCCATCACCTCGGATGATGCTGGTATTTACAGCTGCATCGCCAATAATAATGTGGGAAACCCTGCAAAAAAGTCCACTAACATCATTGTGAGAGGTAAGTGTGCCTCGAAAATGTTATGACATAGATTTCTGGGTTAGATAGGCTATCAAAAATCAAATAATGTTTGATATAAAACTATTTCCTCAAATATTGCATATATATGTAAAATACAGAAAAAAATTGTTGATAAATAATAATGATGTCTAAGTAGAAACCTAAAAATTCTAAATCTTAATAACAGTCCTTTATATTTGCATTGAATATTTTCATAACATATCCTTAGTATTGCCATTGAATATTTTTTATAATGTTTTCAGTGGAAAAAAATGGTTAAATGAAAAATGTGGCATAGAGCATAAAGCATTGTTTTACAGATTCTATATTAGTTTAGGATTTTAGTAAATTTTTCAATTTAATGCATAGTATACATTTGTTGAACCTCTATTATAAATAGGTCTTTAAAATGTGAAGCTATATAGAGATCTATAAAATGTTACTCTGTACTTAAGGATTATACTCTCAATGTAAATAAAAGATATCAATAGTCGTATGATATGATATTTGACATGCATCAACAAAAGGTATAGAATTTTTTTTAAAAAAAAAAGAAATTATGGCCACTGAGGCTGAGGTTATTAGAAAATATCTAATGACATTTGCGCTTGGCCTTATAGGTCGAGTAGAGTTTTGACAGAGTGAAATTGGGGGAACACAGAGAAAAGTCATAGATAGAGAAGGTGATGCTTATTTGATGAATTGAAGTAAAACATGGGTCACAAGTCAATGGCAGCAATGCCTTTCAAGTGCAGCTGCTCACAGCTGGTATGCTGGTGCTACATATAGGGATGTTTTCCCTCCATTTGGGGGATGTAAAGGAGATGAAAGGAGGATGTGCAAGGAGACCATATGCTTCTTCTCGTCTCACTTCACCTGGCATGGTCCTGGGTTGGGAGTGGAAGTTGGACACAGATGGCTCTGAAGTCTAAATAAACATCATATATCCAAGAGGACCCTTTGAACACAAACAAAATTTACTCACAATGGCAGGTTATGATGGAAGCAAAACATAATTGAATATATCCAGCTAAATATTTGTGATTTTGTGAATATAGATTGTGGTGGATTTAGTGACCATAGTTATCTGTTATTATCCAAATTATAAGAAATATGTTACTGGATGAAAATATACTCTATCAAAAATATTGCAAATATTATAATACGGTATAAATCAAGGCACTGTGAACAGTGTACTATCTACTATAAAATTATGGCCATACAATGTTTAGTAATTGTAAGATGTATCATTGTTTTATGATCACTACAGAGTAAAACATAATGCCAGTTAAATTACTAAAGTGTTTTTCTTGTGAGATAGAATGTTTTTGAAAAAGCTTTTTTAAATTTGTTTATACTTAGGTTTTCTTTTCAGCCACATGTCATCCATGTGGCTTTTAGCACACATAAAAAGGAAATTAAAAGCAAAATAAATTGATTGAATTATTCCTAAAAATTCACAGTCAGAACCCAACTTCTAAATCAGTTTTCATCCAAGCATCTTTGATGACCATGGTTTGCTACACAATATTGTCTTCATGTCAGTAAGAACATTTATAGTTCAGAATTATAGACAAATATATTCATTGAAATTTTCTTCCAAGTCAGGTCATCACTGCTGTTCCTAGCTAATAGCAGCTGTGACAGGCTATGGAATGTAAGATGCATTCTGATCTCGGAAATGTTACAATGTCAAAATAAACAGGTTTTAGAATCAATGTAATGTGTTCTTTATTTCAATTGTTTAACAAACTTATGCTGGAAAACCACCCTAAATCCCTGCTTTCAAAGGAGTTTACAGTTCAGTAAGGAAAATAGAAATACAAAAGAATAATACGTGAAAATCAATTTTAAAAGATAGGATTCACAATGGAAGTATTTAACTTTCCTATTTTAAATACCTGTGTTGATGAAATGGGACTCCTTGTAAGCCTTGTCTCAGTGAGCACCAGATTCTGTTCTCTCTTTCACCTAAATTTAAAAAGAAGAAGAAGCAGCAAAAACTTTACAGTTACAATATTTGTTTTATTTCTTTTGTTTCTTTTTTAACATACTGGCTTTCCCAAGTAGCCAAGGAATAATCTACCAAATCTTCCTGTAATGATTGTGAGTTTAGTTAAAGCATTGCAACACCTGTCCTTAGGTATAATGTAGGATCTTCTATAACATTATTTGATCAAGAACAGTAACTCACTAGAGAAAAATAATGCACTGAATCTAGTTTTCACAACAGGATCATTTGCAACTACTGAATTAATGTACAACTGGGAAATTGTTCAACATAAAATGTCTGTGTTGCTCAGGCAACCTCTGTAAAGGACTGACTGAGTAAACAGCAAATATTAATATATGCTCAGAGAATGATTTGCTCCTCCCTACCCTACCTAGCAGTGTATGTATGCTTACAAAAGAAAGTTTCCAACTTTGACATGAATGACCTGAGATAAATAAGGCCCTAAAAATTTATTTTTCTGATCTATGATTTCTTTTTATGCCTTTAATTTGTCTGAAATATACAGTTGCATAATCACATTATATTGCCAGTGGGACTTCTCAGCAGTGGCATTCACATAATTCATAAAATCAAGTTTGTATATAATCTTATTGGGGAGAGAGATACCCTTGGTTAAACTGGGTAGACTAAACTGTGGGGGAAAAAAAACCCTATTACAATAATGTGAGGCATCTGATTTCTGTCCACAGAAGCCAAGAAATTCAGTTTACGTAAATTAGTTTTCTTTTTATTATATCAAAGAAAAAATTTTCAAGTCTTATGAATGTATAGATCTCTGCAGTGTCTTAGATTAACTTTATCATGGACACAGCAAAAATAGAACTTTAAATTTATTTTCTCCTATTCCTTTCTGTTATTAAATCAGGATCCATAGATCAGGTTTCTGAGCAAGCATAAAGGTATTTTGTGCATAGAATTACCGTTCCGGTTTGAAAATGTCCACACACAGAATAAGAGTGTAAGGTAAAGATAGAATAAAGCTCAAGAAACATTTCAGAACTCCTCATTTGGCTTCTTTAAAAATAAAAAACACTTTCAAGTAAATAATGTAGATGACACTATGTAGATAACAAGCTCAGAACTGAACACAAATTTTATATGGTTCACTACTTTGGTGGAATATTTATAAATATAGTAGCAATGCCTTTTCTTATGATCCTTTAAGAAACTGCAGTTACTGAGCCACATTTCTCTTAAGTTAGGAGAGAAGCAGTTTCCTAATACATCCGAAAAGAATATTATGTTGGTTTCCTAGTTACATGTTGAGTGACCTGAGTTCTGGGCTTTCCAAACTCCTGTTAGATGATAGGTCATTTCCATTTAAAGTTCTTTGTTGTTGTGATTCACTGTATTTATAAATGCCCACATTTCTCTTCTGTCATGAATTAAACCACCGTGTTGAACAAGCATGCCTCATAACACGATCAAGACATTACTGCATTTTAGTGTCCCGTGGCCTCTTTGAATGTGCTATTACACATTCAAATCATAAACACACATTTAGTTCTGCGTTTTGGATGCATGATCTAAAATAGTAATAAAACCCTAAATCTGATTTAATGCAAATCGCTTCACCCTCCCTAGCTCGGGTCCACTTTGGGCTGGAGACCTGCAGTGGGATGGGGAAATGGGATGTGCTTGGTTTTTTCTTTGTTGTATGTCAATTCTCTACCCCACTCACCACTTCCACCTCCAGCGTGATAGCCAGGTTCTGAGCACCCTGGCTTGGGGTGGGCTTTGGAGGTTTTCTCTCTATATATAGCTATATAAAGCTTTATATATATAAAGCTTTTTTGTTTCTCTATATATAAAGCTTTCTTGTTTCGTATGTGGCATATTAATGGAACCTTAGAAAGTTCCTCTACTAGAAGATACATACACCAGGAGGATCAAGGAGAAGTCTACAGTGATGGGAGTCTCCTAAGAGTCAATTGATGTACTACACTTCCTAAGCATCTTGTGCTGACCCCATCTCCTTTCTGCTGAGGGTCTCTCTCTCCTTTGCAGCTAACTAAACAGAGCCCCAAAACAAACTCACATTCCTTTCCTGTGCTACTCTTATCTGTCTGGTGGAAATGCTTACCAATGAACTCTGCAAGAGCACACAAGTTTCAATGTACCACCTCCATTCTCTTTCCACATAGGTTTTAGCTTCTTGAGATTTGAGTCAGGAAAAATATTTCAAAGCTGATGGTTCCCTGGAAAGCTCCTTAATAGGATTCAAATGAAATAGGTTCTGTTGTCAGCTTGGCTTTGGAAGAAGCTGCATCTCATAATTTTCTCCAAAGATTTTTTTTTTACAGTTTTAGAATAACTTTGTTTCTAAAATTATCATACAGTAAAACTAACTTCTTTGGTGCACAGTTCTATGATTTTTTTTTTTTTAAATTTCAGAATATTACGGAGGTACAAACACTTTGGTTACATAAATTACTTTTGCACCACCCGACTCAGAGCTACCAGTATGCCCATGCCCCGGACAGCACTACACCCTTTAGATGTGAATTTACCCATCCCCTCCTCCCACTCCCACCTGCCTGATCCCCTATAAATTTTACTTCCCATATGTGTGCGTAAGTGTTAATCCATTAGTACCAATTGAATGGTGAGTACATGGACTGTTTGTTTTTCCATTCTTGTGATACTTCACTTAGAAGAATGGGTTCCAGCTCCATCCAGGATAATATAAGAGATAGTTCACTTTTTTATGGCTGAGTGGTACTCCATGGTATACATATAACACATTTTATTAATCCACTCATGTATTGATACACTTGGTTTGTTTCCACATCTTTAATTATGAATCATGCTGCTATAAACATTTGAGTGCAGATGTCCTAGATAAAAATATACACTGGGGAAAAAGATTCCTATTCAACAAGTAGTACTGGGAAAATTTAGATAGCCACATGTAGAAGACTGAAACAAGATCCACACCTCTCACTTCTCACAAAAGTCAACTCATGATGGGTAACAGACTTAAACC